GTAGCTGGAAAAAAGGAATAAAAACGTGCAAGAAACAGGGGAAATGATGTAAATGTGTGAATAATTACACTGTATCTTGAATTGAATGTTATAACATTAACTTTAAATGTGGAATAATTTTTTTATGTTGTGCTTTTAAAAGATGTACACTTAGATTTCAATGTACCTGCTCACTGTATTTTGTATCTCAGTGATATTGACATACATGTAGTACGACATACGTAAAACATGACTTTCGGAAAAACAACTATTCCCAAAACCTAAATTGCACGATATGTATATACATGTAGGCACTTTACGTTTTCCTGCAAAAGCTAAAATTCTAAGAATGGTTCTTGTTTAGAGAATATCCATGGTTCTTAAAAATAAGTATACAGCAAGAATCGTTTGTTTTTATTCCGTCTGAATACTTATTACATGTAATAGACAGTAATATTGAATAATAAGAAAGACACATTCACATACTTGTACAATTAAGGTATGGTATAGTTAAAAATATTGTGAATCAACACGATCGTAAAAATGAAAATATATTTTCAATACTATACATGTACTTAATGCAAAGCAAAACAAAGTGCATGTTCAATGTCAACGTGTATTTTATCGAATGAAATTCTAACAAAAATAGTTCGTATCTGATTTTGATTCACATTATGAAGAGGACAAATTCCTTATAGCCAAAATTAATTATAGGATAATATTAGCACAATATTTCCCTAAGCGAGTGCGTCATCGGACATCATTACCATAATCCTATCGTCATACAAACCTCATTTTATCTCACGAAGGAAGAGGAATAACCGTTTCAAATTTATTCTACAAAATGGAGATTCATGTAATCTAAGTACATCTATACATGTATATGATGTTTGTCTTGTCTGTTGCCATTCAATATCAAAACCCTTTTAATGTTTCATTTTCTGGTAAGTAAATTATTTGTATTTAATTTAATGTACAAACTTAATTTTGTGGAACGAGAAGATGACTTATGTACGTTGTGGTATGACCACGTGGCGCAACCTCAAAATACGATGTATTTCTGCAGTGAGTCTGTCGGAGACAAATTATTTGATACGAATATTTGTCATCCAGTTTTCACTTTAGGTTACTCATGTGATGTGACACAACTGTTCCGTAAAATATACAAATTTACCTCATTTATGTCAATTTTCCGAGATCTTAATTTTATTTCAAATTCTACAGAGAGTGTTAAAAATAACGCCGGAAAGGGGGATAATTTTCCCGAAATTCATAATTATAATGTTTCGCTGTGGAAAATCTAGCATAGACTTTGAAAATGTTTGAACAGCGTTGAGAAAGACAAAACGTGACGGCAAAAAAGATTTAGAAAGAGGAAAGACACATTCAATGGCGACAAAACAAAATTTCAGCTCGGGTAATCCAAGTTCAAAATAGTCTTTCGTTTTTCATTATTATGACTAAACTAGATCATTAAAATAAAAGAAAATGGAGACTTATGCAATTGTCTCTGTTTTACAGGGAAAGTTTCGCGTTATAACGCGAAAAATATTTTTTTTTACCTACGAAAATGAGCTCAATGGGCTCTCTTACTTATGCATGTGATACTAACAAAGATTTTTTTTTAACAAGGGAAAAATAAATCCCCCCTCCTACCCCGAGAAAAAGAATCAAAGTGCACTTGATTTTTATGATTTTAAAACCATTATGAATTTAAAATGAGACATAGTAGTTGCTTCTTTCTGTAGAAATTAGGAAATTTTAAGTTACAACTGTAAATGGGATAAGAGAGACAACTCTATATACATATACTCCATAACCAGACAAGACAATCTTTAAGGTACGTGTTTATCTTTTGCCTTGTGTCTTTCTACATAATTATTAACGTAAACGATACATTAAACTAAATGAAAAATAAAGAAAAAGATTGAATGTATTTCTCATCGTTTGCTTGAAAAAGTAATTTTAGTGTAAAATTTCTTGTAAATGTACGAAATTTACGTATTAATCGTAGTATAAACCAGGAGAATACATATGCATGGAAGGCGATAAAAATGTCATATCCAAATAAATTTTGCAAAAAAAATCTCCAGATATATATTTTTTCGAATTCATTATTCTTAAAGCAATGTAGTTAAATAAAAAAGTAAATATATGATATGTGACTGCATGATTAATATTGAATGATTAGCAATCTGTCTTCGGACTTTAAGGTAAAACAGACTACGATTTCTTTTCAAAATCAATGTTCCGTATGGTCGTTCTAGTCTCATGTTGTAAATTTTGAATTTTCTGGGTGGAAATAAATAGGAAATTTACAAATGATAACTGTTGACTTTTGTAGAAAAGGCAATTGCTTTTCATTACATTTTAGTTAAATTTGAGAACTTGTAAGTCTTGTTATTTCTCATATTTGAGATGCAATGTTAAAAACAATTCTTTTGATTTTTTTTTTTACACATAACACGTGAATGATTATGTCTCATTCCGAGATTGATCTTCATTATCACCGATATTATGCTATAATTGTCAATTAATAAAATACATTATATTGCAAGACGTCAAATACATATATCAACAACATTAATTTTGCCCGTCTTCATTGCGTGGTGCATCAAGACTTGTGTTCCCTGCTCAATTGCTTATTCTCCCATTAAAAAAAAAGGATTTTGAATTATGACTTGATTTAGTCCAATATAAAATAAATATACAATATTCATTACATTGGCAACTGTCTACACCGTGTGGTCTTATCAATATTTCCCCTAGCTTCGAAAACAAAATATAATTGCCGTCTTTGATGGATTCTTGCAAATAATCACACAGCATCATATTACATACAGGACACCATATATTAACGTTATTAATGGAGTTCTTAGAAGAATATTGCTATATCAACTACCTCATTATAGGAAACAATATCTTTTGAGTAGACCTTCATTTTCTTGCATTGATATTAACTATTTTTGATTCGACCGACGGGAAAATTTGATCGCAATTAAGTTCATTTGTGTTCTATACATGCAACATGAACGTCAAATGTTAGACTTTACAGACAATTGTGCATAGTACTTTGATATTTAGAAATATTTTTAGTAGAATTAGCATTGTTGGCACGCGCTGTTTACGGAGTTAGCACAACATACATGTACACTTGGTATGTTATACTGAATTAAAGACATACATTGTACGCAACGTACCTTACCTACTGATAATTTTCCAAGATATTCTTCATTTAAGATTATAGTGCCATCAGATGTTTGTAGACAAAATATCAGCATGCATTACCAGGGGGTTTGAAAAGATACCTATTGATGAAGATTCTTGTATAATTGAAAGAAAAATATACGAAAATTACTAAACATATTCTTAATCTTTTGTTCATCCAAACTTGTTTTAGAAGAGATGTACAACAGCATATATAGACATTTAAATGTAGCACACACTTCTTTTAAGTATCGGAACTCTTCAACTCCAGGGAAAAAGACAATAAAGTTAAAACTACGTTGCGTTTGTCCTTAATGAAAGATCATGAAAAGTTTTGCCACGCATGCAATCATATATTATTTATTAAGATCATTGATGAAAACATGAATAATAACAGATCTGAGTATTAACTTCTGAACTGTTTTGAAGGCGACACAATAAGAAGCTAGGACTAACAACTTGCGGTCTAAGAAATACTAAAGGTCTAAGAAACATGTAACGTCGTTTTCAATATGATTGTCTCAAACATTATTTCATCTTTTATGTAGAACTGTAAAAGAGGCCCAAAACAGTTAGACAGAAACTTGATTTATTCTAGATTTAAAAAAAAAAAAAGGTTAATGATCAAGGTACATGTAAGAAAGAATCTTGTAACTTACAAGGTCTTGTCACCAATTGCTGTAAAATATCCTTCCTAACCCCCCCCCCCCCCCCCCAAAAAAAAAGAAAACCCAAACAATCAAACACAATAAAAAAACAAAAGAAAAACGAACTCCATAATAAAAATTAATGGAAGATATAGAACAAAATTTATTTGCTTGAAGGCGGATCTTTGATGACGATCAAGGTTACAAAATCAGTAAGCTTAGTCAAGGATGAAATATCAATGAAAAGTCCGTCCCATTATGGTTCAAAAGACGTAAGGCAAATAAAAATTAGGTCAATGTCTGGAGGCCTAACAACTTCATTCAAATTAAAAGGTCCATTAACATATAGTAAATATCAAAGCTCAATCCAAACATATAAGACAAACTTCACTTTCCTTAATGTCAGTCAAGTTAAAATAAAGATCACAGATTTTTAAGAAGCCAAAACTTTATGCAAAGTCTGTTTTTAAAATCAAGCTAAACATCAATTCCAATTTTTAAGGATCTAATTGATGCAAGGCAATATTTTTCACTACAGGCTAGTTGCAATTATAGCACTTTGCACATAAGTCAAATTTTAAGTAACATATATGATCTATGAGGAAACTAGGAAACAATTTTTTAAGTAGGTTCAATAATCCGTATACGTGGTATACTTTAAAAAGTCTAGCTACAACTAGCACTGATATTAAATATCACATTCGCAGATGATTGTTTTATTGATATAACGTATTTTTAAAAAAGCGTCAAATTCAGAGCCACGTGCAAATGCCCTCGTACGTTGTATGGCTTAAATGCCCCTATGCCAAAGTAACATGAGCAAAAAGATTAAATCTCTAATAAAGATAAAGGATGACAAACAGATAGACGCCATGCATGGTGATCTTAAGCGACCGAGGGAGGGGTGTGCCCCTAATAAATTTGCCGATATATAGTAAATTACAGAAAACAAAGCTACTTTATGTTTGTGCCCCTTCAATAAAAACGTCTGATGATTTGTTTTAAATTTTACACTGAAATTGCGTCCTACGGACATGTTTAGAGTCCCTCTGCTTCATAGGCCATACATAAACTACACAGCCTTTTGATGAGGTTAATTATAATAGAGAAACCATACCGACCAAGCATGAATAGTCGTATTTATAAGGTCATTGTTATTTCTTCAGCATGAATACGAAAGGTTTTGATGGACATACACCAGAAACAAAATGTCATGTACAGACTCCACAAGAACAATCAGAGAGGGAAACATATTCAAAGGAAGTAAGAAATCAGGAATGGCAGTGCGACAAATCAGTTGTTGAATGTGTCCATTATATGCTGACCAATCAAATTGCTTGTGATGTTTCCATCTTTATTGGTCCTGAAAAATTTGAAGTCAAGGCACACCGATTCATTTTAATTGCTAGAAGCCCAGTGTTTTTCGACAAACTCCGATCCTGCACTGCATCTGAAGAGTTCCGCTACAAGGTGAACGTACCCAACGTTGAAGTGGATACCTTTCAGAGATTTATTCGGTAATTAAGTGTATGCATCACCTCAAAATACGCAGCAAAATCAATATAAAAGTTTTTAATAGTACAATAAGAAAGGATAAATGTATATACATTCATTTGTATATTTATTTTGAATAGATACCTCTACACCGACGAAGTTGATATCAATCTAGAATCAGCTATGTCATTATTGCCTGTTGCCAGACGGTTTCGAGTCAACCATCTTGTCCAGCTCTGCTTGAGGTTGCTAAATGACGAAGTTGATGCTCATAATGTTTCTTATTTATTAGATCAAGCAATCTTATCACACGCCATAACAATGCGCGACAGGGCCATGGAAATCATCAATAAGTCTACAAGAGAATGTCTGAAATCAGAGGCTTTTTGTAATATTTGTTCAGAAGCACTTGAATACATATTGAAATCAGACGACCTGAATATTTCAGAACAAGAGTTGTACGAATGTTGTTTGAAATGGTCATCTACACAGTGTCTCAAGAAATCTTTAGAAATCACAGACGAAAATATTCGGGATCAGTTAGGTGAATGTATTCATCAGATAAGGTTTACACTTATGCCAAAAGATTACTTTCAACATGAAATATTTGGCAGAAAAATCCTTAGTGATGAAGAGAAGACAGATATAATTGAATGCATAACAGACGGAAGTCCAAAGAATTCAGTCTTAAAATTCAATCGAAACTTACGAAAGACAACCGAATATTTCCGAGTTCTTCGATTTGAGAAACTCGACAAAAAGTTGAAAGAACACACTGGTCGACCAGATGCCATCATGTTTGAGACTTCAAAGCCTTTATGGTTTCATGGGGTGGCTCTGTTTGGTTCCTACATTGAACAAACTATAAATGTCCATCTAGAGATTTCCGACAGCAGAAATAACGTTATCAGGGCCCTCGGTCTGGCTTTCCAAAGCACCGAGTCTGAAGAAATGTATGATGTACTTCTACCTATCCCTTTTGAAACAATTGCTGGAGCACGATACAATGTTGTGGTTATTGCTGTCGGAAAATTTCGCCACATGTATCGAGGTGTCGAAGGAAAAAGAGAACTGACATTCAAAGACACCCAAATCACCTTTTTTGAATCAGGAAATTCGTCAAATGGAACCACAGTTAGCGAGGGACAGATCCCTGGATTTCTCTTATCATGATATCGCACAAAATAATTTTAACATCGTACAATGAAATACATTTCAATTATCGTATTTTGACCCTTAGTATACACACAAAGAGTAATATGAAATAACAGAATATTAACTTCCTTAAAAAAAGAATAAATTAAGGATATCAGGTTTTTTAAGTACAGAAGTAGGCTATATTAAGTACCTGTATGTGCTCTTATATATCACTGTACAGAGGAAAACAGCAAAGAAAATAATTGTTCAAGTTAAAATTAAACAAACTGCATTTTTGTACATGTAACCCCCCTTCCAAGCATAACTTCTTAAGGCTTTAAAATGAAAAAAAAGTAATATTGAATCTCAAAGACATCCAGTTATATGTGTAACATAGTAATCAAGTCATGTAAATCAATAACTCATTGGCTGATGACAATTACGAAAATTGCGTTGTGTGTTATATTGAGGTAATATTTGAGTCAGACGCAATACATTTCTTATTAAGGAGAAATATTGGACAATTTTACAGCCAGAAAAAAAAAAAATAAAGGAAAAGAGATTTTTCATAATGCAGAAGTACAGATACATTGCAAAATCGTTAACGCGTAGATTTAGTACCATACCAACATAATAGAGCTTAGAAATTTAAACTTGTAAGAATTCTCCATTTAAGAAGTGAATTATGCAACGGGACATGAGAGTTTGATACAGAAAATGTAATCAATAGAATTATCTGAAAAGAAGAGACGTATTCAAGCTTTCTCTCTCCTCTCTCTCTCTCTCTCTATAATTATATAATCTTATCTAAAATGGTGAGTATCTTGAAAACCATGTTGTATCCATCCAAAGTTGTTCGTCTATAATTATACGGTAAAATGTATTAATGGAGAATGTGCATCAGAGAAGATATGATTGTTGCCGACACAGATAGCTGGACAAACGTATAAACGACCAAGATATCGATTATAACAGATTCCTTAAAAGAAAATAATAGCCTCTTTCTCTTCCAAATTGGAAAAGGTAATTATATTGGCATGTGACATCATTCAAAATTCATTGATTAATTTAAAATCGGAAACTGTGATATGTAAGGAACTAAAATAACCAGCTAACCATTCTATCTATCTATCAACATGTAATATATATATATATATATATATATATATATATATATATATATATATATATATATATATATATATATATATATGACTAACAGGTTGCAGGACTTTCCTAGTCGTAGATCTTCATTTTTAATTCCTTTTAAATTTATAAAACAGAAGTGAGAATTAAGCCGTTAACTACCTGCCTTCTGCGTGGCAATAATATTTCCCAGAAATTACTTCATCAGTAATGATTTAGAAGCCAATTATTTAGAATGTCAACATTCCCTTGGGGTAAGTGATGTTTTAATGTACTGATGGCAGTATCTCATGCCAATAATTCATCTTTTCCTTTTGTATCCCTTGGGATTTTTTTTCTTCTCATGCTTTGCGCGCATTTTATTTATTAAATACTTTTATTTCAAGATGTTGAGATATTAAACAAAGAGCTCTTTTTTTGTAAGTACAGAAATTAATTTTTCCTGTCTTTACTAGTATCATTGCCTTAAGAAAGATAAGGGGATTGTAAATTTCTGGTTTTTGAATTTTTTTTTCCGACAGATGTGGCTACACTGTTGAATTGGTACAAATCTTAAGGACCCCTGTATACACTAACAAAAATGTGACCATTGGAAACATCTAAAAATAAAAAAGGTTAAGCTTATAAAGGTGTAAATATTGATTTTTATGCCCCCGTATCGAAGATTCGGGGGTATATAATTTTTGCCCTGTCCGTTTGTCCGCAAAAACTTTAACCTTTCCCATAAATTTTGACTGGTTGAAGCTACATAATGGCTTTCATATTTCACATGTGTATTCCTTGTGACAAGACCTTTCTTTGGGTACCATCATATTTGACCTTTTGACCTTGGGGTTTGACCCACTTTTGCAAAATTTTATGAGACATTAACCTTTGTCATAACTTTTGAACAGTTGGTGCTTGGGGTTTCAAACTTCACATGTGTATTCCTTCTGACAAGACCTTCCTTAGGAAACCAACAACTTTGACCTTGACGTTTGACCTACTTTTGAAAAACTTTAACCTTGGCCATAACTTTTGAACAGTTAATACTAGGGGTTTCAAACTTTACATGTGTATTCCTTGTGACAAGACCTTCCTTTGGATTCCAACCACTTTGACCTCTTGACCTTGACCTAGGAGTTTGACCTACTTTTGAAAAACATTAACCTTGGCCATAACTTTTGAACAGTTGGTGCTAGGGCTCTCATACTTCACATGTGTAATCCTTGTGACGAGACCTTTCTTTGGATACCAACCACATTGACCTTGACCTAGGAGTTTGACCTACTTTTGAAAAACATTAACCTTGGCCATAACTTTTGAACAGTTGGTGCTAGGGCTCTCATACTTCACATGTGTATTCCTTGTGACAAGACCTTCCTTTGGATTCCAACCACTTTGACCTCTTGACCTTGACCTAGGAGTTTGACCTACTTTTGAAAAACTTTAACCTTGGCCATAACTTTTGAACGGTTAATACTAGGGGTTTCATACTTCACATACATGTATGTAATCCTTGTTACAAGACCTTCCTTTGGATACCAACAACTTTGACCCTTTGACCTTGGAGTTCGACCTACTTTTAAAAATCTTTAATCTTTGCAATACCTTTTACGGCTTTCGTACTTCACATGTGCATTCCTTGGGACAAGACTTTCTTTTGGATACCAATAATTTTGGCATTGACCTTGGAGTTTGACCTACTTTTAAAAAACTTTAACTTTGGCCATAATATGTGAACGTCTGGTTCTAGGGCTTTCAAATTTCACGAACATGTGTATCACTTTTGACAAGACCTTCCCTTGGGGCCCCATTTGACCTTATCCTTGACGTTTTCCTTACCTTTAAAAACTAAACTTCGCCTTTGGAGCTAGGGCTTTCGAATTTCACAAGTATATTCCTCGAGACAAGACCTTTCTTTGGGTATCAACTGTTACATTTTTTTTTACCTCTTGACCTGGATTTTGACTTGCATTTAAGAAACTTTAACCTTCGCCATAATCTGCCATACGTGGGCATCAGTGTTTCACAAACACATCTTGTTTATTTTCATCATAGGATACCATAATTTTACTACCAAGAAAATTCTGAAAGACAAGAAAGCATTGATGAACAGAAATCACTTTTGCTTACTGAAAAGAGGGAACTACCTGCAAATAACGAGTACATGCAATTAATATATCTTGGCATAAAAATGTTAAAAATGCTTGATTTTGCTTAAATGAAATATGGAGATAAAGAACAACAACTAGGTCCAAAAGTCCATTGAAACAATGCAAATCGGGACCAGAGCAAACACGGATCTCAAAAAGCACCAGAATTGGGATCAGGTGCCACGGAAGAGCAAGCACTTCCCGCCAACCGGCCACAATCGCCCCCCCCCCCCCCCCGTGATTAGAGTAGCGATGTCAATTTATTTATCATTCAAACGCCACAAAATTATAACTCTTTAGTTTGCAGTTATATAGAAGTTTTTTAAGATCATCGTAATCAAAGGGTCCAATAAACGATCCCCAACGGTTCTTGTGACATTGATAAAAGTGTCAAACAAAAGAAACATCACTGTGTATTATATATCTAGATTTTTAATTTTCATAAATTACAAAAGTTCACTAAATTAATGCATTGTTTTGTGTACGAGAGAGAGAGAGAGAGGTAGGTTTGCATTATCACACGTCAGCCTTTGTTGCATATGATAACTTTGGAATCTTTGTCGGTAATGCACATTTTCATCTCCTTTATGTCTAGAGAAATTGGGACTTTGTCCTTGAGGCTTAAAATATTTGACATTTTACTACCGGATTCAGTAACATTTATAACAGTACCTTCATCTTTTAAAGCTAGGTACAAAATTTTCGTTTCCCTGTCACATGATACGTCCCCTATGTGGCCGTTTACAGACACTCGCCATATTTCTCTTCCCTCTCGTGAAATGCAACACAACGTATTTTTAAGATCCGAAACTACTATGTGACCTTCAGACGTCATACATAGCATATTGGGGACACTCTCCGGAGAGGTTAGGATCAGCTCCGTTGAAATTGATACTATCACGACACCATGTACGGTTATAATGTCGATACAAGTTTGAGACCATGAAGAAACTGCTACTCGATCTTCTGAAACTTGACAGATTCCAAAATATTTTTTGTCAGTTTGGATATATCTCTGAATGTTAAATTTCTCGCGTGAGGTTTCGACTATTTCTAACACTGATTTGTCCGGTTTTGTTATAACTATGTTCCCATTCTCACGTATACAACACATAGAATGGGGAACGTCGATTAGTGAAAGAGATCCTTTTATGTCACCGAAAATAGAAAATCGTTTGAGCTTAGCGTTTTCCCTATCAAGAATACACAAATCACTAGTGCCTGGAAGAAAAACAATTTTGTTAAGGTAGCAAGACAGTTCATCGGGTAATTTAGCATCGAAACTCCGGTCAACGCTTAAAATAACGTCATTTCCAGCCATTTTAATTAATTCTATTCAAGAGATGGCTTATGGAGAGAGGAGGTGTATTTGAGTTGTTCGTCTTCAGTTGCAAATCAGAAAAATCGGTGTCCAAGTCACTTCTAACTCCTTTTAATTCAACAAAGCCTACTGCTGAAAATCCACGAAGAAATTCCTTTACCTCGTCATACAAGGTGAAATTTAGACGTGCTGTTTTTTGGGCGGTTGTTATATCAAATTTGGTTTTGAGCTGATTTTCGATAATTGGTAGCAATTCAATTAAGTTTTTGTACTTCTTATCTTTCTTCAGGACTTCAATGTGACTTGCTGCTTCCAAAAGTGAATGTACAATCTTTTCTTTTCGATATATATTCTCGATTTAACTTCTGAACGTCAGAGCGAAGAACTGAGATCTGTCGTCTGCAGGTTTCAAAGATGTTCTCTATCCTTTGCTC